TTATTTAGTAATAGTAGTAAATGGCAGTATATTAAACCCACAAGATAGCTATATACTTAAAGATATTCATTTTGAACTATTGCACCTCATCATGTTTATGTCTTTGAAATTGATAGTCATAAACAAAAATTATAACCTTTAAGATAAAGTTTATGTGCTGAGTTAATAACTAATGTTTGTAATGATAGGGTGCAAGATATTCTAAGTTCATTTCTAACTTAAAGGTGGCTTTTCAAATAGGTTATCCACCTATTTTTGAATTGTGAAAACGCTCAAATTCTACTTCTAATTGTCTAATAATAAATTAACTACAAACTAATAGTAATTGTGTCTTAAAAATTACATGCAAAGCTATATGAAAAGTTATACTTGATGATCTTTAAATTTGCGAAATTCTATCAGATGCTCAAAATCTTTTAATTAAAACATGCACCAAAGGATTATCTCCTTAAGTTGTTCTTATTAGCTTCCACTCTTATATCCCTTAATTTATAAAATGGTTAAAAATTTATTAACACTGATTTTTGAATAACAAATAGACATACATGTATGTAAACAATAATGTCTCTAAAGGGAGGTAACAATGATTAATATAGATGTATAAAAGAATGTACATAATTTAAATGAATGGTATAATTAATATTTTGAAATTTTAATTAATGATTAAGATAAATTGTCTGTTTTGGATTGGTTAATAATTTTTCTACACATGTGTTGTTTACTATTTAGTTTTTATTAATTCAATGGTGTGTTTAAATTTTGGTAGGGATAAAGCATTAAGGTTACTTGATTTCTCAAATATTGAATAAGAATAAAATAATCCTATATATAATGCCAAAGCTCACAACTTTTATATGTTTATTAACTAAATTGCATTGGTATTAAAACATGTAATTATTACTACTATTGAGTATTGGAGATAAAAAGTTTATGTAACTTAATATTCTTCATGAGTTTTCTTGTTAAAGCCATATGTTTTGATAAACGTGCATCATTAATAAATAATTTAATTAATGCAATATCATATTTCTTGCTCTATATATTGCATGCCTCTATAGCCTAGCTTAAATTTTCATGTTCTAAAAATTAAATTCATAGTCATATAGCTCAAAAAGCTGCATCAAATTTGCATGGCTGTTTTTTCTTTCACGTTTTCCGTTCTCTTTGCAGCAGAGAATAACAAAAATCAGGTATAGTTCAATAATATTTGCCTAAACTCCTTTTTTTAATGTATTGGTAGTTATACTTTTCTTAGTTTCGATTTTGATGAATTTTGTATTCATATACAGTGTATTCCTAATGGTTTCGAAGAATTGTTGAATGATGGGAATTTAGGTGTTGAATTATCAGTTCATGGTGATTCCAGACTTTAGTTTGTTACTATGGTACATGAAGAAGATAATGATGAGTGGAAAACTATTTTGGGAGATGGCTGGTCCAAATTTGTAAAGGAAAATAATCTGAAGGTTAGTGATGTTATGAATTTTAGCTATTATGGGCACAGTTCATTTCTTGTGCAGATTTTAAGGAGAACAGCATGTAAAAAAGTGCAAGGATCAGACTACAGCAAAGGTTCTTCTAGTTCTGGTAAGAGACGTGGATGCAAAGCTGCAATCGAAGGGAATTCAGAGAAAATGATTGAATTAAATGAATGGATTGATGAAATTGTTGTTGGTTGTCGCTTACCAAATTTCAGGTTCATTTTCAAAAAAATCTATCTTAATCAAGCAAAGATTGTAAATATTGAGAAACTTAAACGCATTCCCTAATCATTTTCCTGTTTTAGGTAAATTTTTTTAAAAAAATTTGTTTTTGTTCTGGTGGCGTTGTTTGCCGAATGTCCCTTTGGATTTTGCTAAGAAGTTTTTAAGTAGATTTGGTGAGACAACTGATGTTATTCTTCAAAACTTTGACGATCATTTTGAGGTGGAGCTTAAAATAGTGAGGAAAGGCAATACAATTACTCAGTGCTCGTTGAAGAATGGTGTAAGGGAGTTTATTGACAGGTACAATGTTCAAGAAGATGAAGGTGCATTCATTAAGTATACAAAGGATGATCCTAGTATATTTGATGTTGATCTAGTTCTGAATGAATGGTAGGACTATTCTAAGGGTTTCGTTTAGTTAATGATGTAAGGATGCAAGTGCTTGAGTATTATGTTAAAATTTCCGATTTGCTTTTGGGTGAAAGACTTATTATGAATTAAGTGATGTGTTCAAGTTTATTTTGGGTCATATGAACAATTAACTAATGTAAGGATATCTAGTTTATTTTGCTTCTTAAAATATTAAGTTTTAAAGTTAATGAGTTATTATATTGTGCCTTTAGAGACAATATTATGATCTGTTATATATTGTTAGTTCATAAACTTAGTTAAGCTACAAATTAATAGTTGAGAAAACTGAACATGTATAAGTAAACATTTAAATTTCTCTTTTTTTTCTTGTAAGAATAGGATAACATGATCAAGGAATGCATTATAAACAGGTAGTCATAGAAGCTATATTACAAAGAAGTTCATTATTCCTTATACACAAAGAAAAAAGAAAACAAGTACAATTACAAAGCTTATAAGCAAAAGAAGTAGAATCTGGTAACCAATGTAAGCATACGAAAAAAAAAAGAAAAGAATCTGATATATTTAAACTGCATAGTAGCAGAAATAGTCTAAATGAATACACGTAAACCAGTAACTTAGTGTGCTTTTCAATGTCTACAAATCAACATACTGATTTTAGATAGCAATCAAGAAGGTAGCAAACAAGAGTATATCCAGAGTGATAGGAAAAACTTACTGTAAATTAAGTGTTTTGATTTGAAGCCTTAGATTAATAGGATCGATATTCAATCGCAAAATATACATTTGTTCAGTTATCCTAGCACCTCTGTCCTGTTTAATGCTTGAGATCGAATAATTGTGATGTTCATAGGTCTGCCTTTGAGAACTTCAGCAATTTTTTCGAAGTCATTCTATTAATTCTGGAAAAAAAAAATTAAATGGGTGAAATTTTTAAAATATAGAATATAATTATAGTTTAGATTAAATTAAGAAAAAAGATATAATTTATTTTTTACATTCGTTCTTTTTTGTCAAGAATGTCTAATATTGTAAGATTGTGTATCTGCTCACATATTGATCTTAAAGCAGTAAGTTGATAAGATGCATTGCTATCATCAGCATCAAATGTCAAAATGCACTATGTAATAGTGTTGTTAATTTATATTAGACATGTAAAAAATATTGCTGATTCACCCAGAATACTGAGGGCAATAAAATGATACATTGACAGCAACACCACAATGTTTATCACAGTTGCTGCAGTCAATGTAAGCAACTACAATAGCCAACTGTAGTTATATAATTGTGACTGTAAGGAAGTACAACTCTTCTAATACTGTGTCGTTAACACGAAATCAATTTCTGTGAGTAAAGATGAAATCTAAAGGCATAATAAACATAGTGCATAACTAATAAGAACTTATTTCTAGCATCCATGTGTGTAACTAACAAGAAACCCTAGGTATAAGACTCTAAGCCAAGCTAGTTCCTTAACCTTAACTTTGCTATAAATAATCCTACAGATTCTATAATATACATCTATACAAACTTAATTAATTACTGCTTCATGACTGTCAATTTTTCCTTCCCAAACTATTTAACTATTTGTTGCCATATGTTGTAAATCAAAGCATAGCTTAAACTCTGAAAACTTTGTTTTTTAAATCTGTTTTAAGTCTTCCAACACCACTGATTACAAGTAACTAAATTTCCATAATCCAAAAGCTTCTAAATTGTGGAAGCTTATACCCTGTTCTAAGTCTTTATCAAACAGACATCCAAAGTGTCAGTTTGTATCTAAGAATGTTATACCTGTTCTTAACCAAATAACACAAACTTACATCAGGTTTAACAGGCTGCAGACATTGATGAGCTGATTTCACAATATAACTTGTAGCATTTTTTTTCCAGGTGTTTCCAGTAAAGCGTCTTTTAATCTGCTACTTCACTTTCCAAATCTGCTTCCACTGCCAGCCAGTCCTTGTAGGATAACCCACTCTCTTTCGGATTTTATTTATTCAAATAATGCTGATTCACCCATCGAAGTCATAAACTGTCATTCTTATTAGCATTATCCCATATATATTTCTCCATTGCTACAACCTTTCAGGTAATACAATCTTTCATACCAAGACCGCCTTGTTTTTTAGGCTTGCAAGACTTCTCATTTCAGCATTACTCTTTGTTTTTAACCAAGAGAATTAACCAACTTCATTAGTTTTACCACTATTGCATTCACAAGGTCTTTTATTATAATTTTAATTGCTAGAACTACAATTACTAACAATTCTTTCACTCTTCTTATTTTAAAGAATTTGATTCCCCCCTAAATTTTTATTTCTCATTATCCTCTCTAATTCTAGTTAACTAATAACTTCAAATCAATGTATATTTAAACTTCCTAACAGAATCTCATAGAGATTGAGACTTTCTTCCTCATTGAATCTAGTTCCCTTAACCCAAAAAACTCTTCTAGACAACTTTCAAAGTGATTACATATCTTGCATTGCCTTATTCAAAAACTTTCCAATCCAAAATAGAACAATCAATTAAATCTGTCCTTCTGTTCATACAAATTTAGGCATTTATATATGTTCGAAAAAAGTGTATTAGCCATACCCTATTCTTCCAAATCACAATTTAAACTAAACAACAATTACTCTATTTGATTTGGCATTCATGTGTCTAACAAAGCGTTTTGCGTGAGACTGGACTCACGTGAGTCCAGGCTCCTTAATTAAAAAGGCGCGGGCCTGATCAACCCGACCAAAGCCCGCGCGCCATTTTATAAAGTGTCTGAATATTTCGTTTTCATCAATTTTCATAAAATTTCGTGCGCCGTCATTTACTGAAAATTTCGAAAGCTTTCATTTCGTCGAATTTCAACCACTTCATTTCCTTAAATTTCAGAGAATTCAACTCTTCAAATTTCATAAAAAAATGGAGACATCAAACAATAGAATGATTATTGAAGGAGATTCTGATTCACCTATAGAATCAATTTCTAGCTCAATTACTGCTGAAAAAGGTACAATTTAGTTCATAATTTTGATTGTATGTAATTTCGAATCATATATAAGAATTTCAAATTACATAGTTCATGATTTCAGATTGTATCATAGTGAATTTGAAATATGAATTTCGACTTATAATTCGCATGCAAGCCAAATTGAATTTCAGATCGTAGTAAATTTCGATTTAATATCTGATCATATTTAAATTCGAGTTAATTTCGACTTATTATATGCAATCAACGCCAATCGAATTTCAGATCGTAGTTAATTTTGACTTATTTAAAAATCAGGCTTAATTTATATTCCAATCGAATTTGAAATCAGGCTTAATTTATATTTCTCAAATTGTATATATTACATGTCGCAGAAAATTAATTTTAATTTGAATCCAGTTTTTTGATAATTTTAGAGTGAAATTCAAATATACTAACACTAATGATGAATGCAGTAGATAATGTAATTTTAGGAGACAATATCAATGAAGAAAGAGATGATGAAGAAAGAGATGAAGATGCTGCAAGTATAATAGGTATACTGATAATTAAATGTTCTGTAAAATTATTAAATGCTCTGTAATTTATTGATGTAATTGCAGACAATATAATTTTTGACTAATCTTATCTTAAACCTGACTGAATTAATTTTATTCCTATGGAAACCTATTTCCTAAAAAAAATTATATGGAAATTAGTGAAAATAATGTAAACTTGACTATTATTATTTTAAAACTGACTATCATTATTTTAAACCTGACTATCATTATCTATTTCCTGACTAATATTATTTATTTTCTTTCCAATTCCTATAATTTCTAATTATCATTATCTATTTCCTGACTAAGATAATATATTTCCTGATTAATATATTGTCATTTCTAACCAGAAAAAAATTTCTGACTTGATAAAAAAAATCTAATTTCTGTATGCTATAATATATCTGAATATTATTATATTAAAACTGACTATCTTTATCTGTTTTCTGACCAACATTATCTAATTTTAAAATATTTCTGACTGGATTAAAAAATCTAGTATTCCTGCCTGAATATTATTATTTTAAACCTGACTATTATTATTTTAAAACTGACTATCATTATTTTAAACCTGACTATCATTATGTATTTCCTGACTAATATTATTTCTTTTCTTTCCAATTCCTATAATTTCTAATTATCATTATCTATTTCCTGACTAAGATAATATATTTCCTGACTAAATATATTTCCTGACTAATATATTGTAATTTCTTACTAGAAAAAAATTTCTGACTTGATAAAAAAAAAAAAATTTGTATGCTATAATATATCTGAATATTATTATCTTAAAACTGACTATCATTATCTGTTTTCTGACCAACATTATCTAGTTCCTGACTAAGATATGCTAATTCCTGAGTATTATAAATTTTAAAAACATTTAATAACTGTATATAATTTTGATAATACAATTTCTGACTATTATTATCTGTTTCCTGACTAATATTATCTTAAACCTGACTGAGTTAATTTTATTCCTGACTAATATATTGTAATACCTGATTAAAAAATCTAGTTCCTGACTAAGATATCCTAATTCCTAAGTATTATAAATTTCAAAAAACATTTAATTACTTTATAACTTCATACAAAACAAAAAATAAAATAAAATCAACTAAATTTAAAAAAAATTACATATTACTGAAATGTTATGTTTTTTAATTCAAATATAATAAAGTGCAAAACATTGAACATAAGCTACTAATAACATCCTCTATTTTAATTTTTTTCCTCTCTACCTGGTTGGCTTGCCTCTTCTCTTTTTCTCTCTCTCTTGTTGGCTTCTTCTTCCGCAAAAATTAAACGTAATTCATCAAGAAATTCAGCCCAGTCTTGCACCATGCCATTGTGAAAACCATAACCATTATTCCTCATAATGTCATATGCAACCCACCATTGATTTGAATTATGATTTCTTCTTACTATTTCTGGAATCCAAAATTTATAATACCATAATTCATTATAATATTTACATGTACAATTAATCATCGCCCGGGCTTTGAAGGTGCACCTAGGGAAAATATGCATGCATAATATCTCTTCAATTGCTAATGCTGGATGTGCATCTTCTAAGGCATCAATTGGGTGTGCAATTTGATTAGCCATCTAAACAAAACAAAATAAAATAAACTAACAAATGTATGATCATAATATGAAAAAAATATACCTTTTGTAGTAGCAGTAGTTATATTCTTATAAAATTAATTAAAATTCAAACTGAAGCAATTTATAGTTTTATATGGATTTTTTTTTTCTGAATATAGTTTCTTGTACACTGTGGTTTCTTATATATAGTGTTTAGAACGTGAATTGGTGCAGTGTTTTGGAAGAGGGAAGGTCATGCCTTTTCAAATATGTGTTTTTCATTTATAATTAACCTCTGTTCTAGTAAATACATTTAATTTTATTCAATTAATTTTATGTCTAGTAAATGAGTTTACGTGTTTTTTGAGTGTTTATAGTGTTTATGTTTTAGAAGAGGGAAGGTCATGACTTTTCAAATTCTAATTCTTGTATGCAATAATTTTTTTTTCTGGATATAGTTTCTTGTACACTGTGGTTTCTTATATGTAATGTATAGAACGTGAATTGGTGCAGTGTTTTGGAAAAGGGAAGGTCATGCCTTTTCAAATATGTGTTTTTCATTTATAATTAACCTCTGTTCTAGTAAATTCATTTCATTTTATTCAATTACTTTTATGTCTGGTAAATGATTTTACGTGTTTTTTGAGTGTTTATGTTTTGGAAGAGGGAAGGTCATGACTTTTCAAATTCTAATTATTGTATGCAATAATCTAACTGACTATTTTTATCTTAAACCTGACTATATCATTTATGTCCTGATTAATTTATTATCTATTTTCCTGACTGAGATAATTTTATTCCTTACTATTATAATCTAATTTCTAATTCAAAAATTTTTGACTATGTTTTTAGTAATATTTTGACTATTTTTTGTCACTGAAATTAGATTAATAAAATTGTTTCAATTTAATTTCTGATTGAAACAATTTTATTCCTGAAATATACGATATAATTTTTGATATATTCAAATTAATTCCTAATCAAAACATTTTAATACCTGACATACAGAATTTAATCCCTGATAAAACAAATCTAATAAATGACAAAAATAATCTAATTCCTGAAGATAATGAACAATGAACAACATATTATAATCCGATACAAATATTATTATTTGTGAATGATATAATTTTATTACTGACCAATATTACCTGTTTCCTGATTAATATAATCCTAAACCAGACTGAGATGATTTATTTCCTGACTAGTATTTAGTAATTCCTAATTTAAATAATCTATTTCCTGACTAAGGGGTAATTCTTAAGTATTATAAATTTTAAAAATATTTATTTACTGTCTATAATATTGTAATTACTGACAAAAATAAATTATGATATGTTTCATATGTATACTTTTGTTGCAGATTACAAATATGACAAGGATGAAAACATAAGTAGATGTCTAGCAAGTTATACAACATCAAACTACAATGAGGGATATGTGTTATACAAAGCTCATTCAAGATCTGTTGGTTTCAGTGTCAGAAAATCAACAAAGAGAAGAGATACCAATAATAAATTGTATGAGTTTTATTTTAGATGTTCTAAGGAAGGACATACAAAGGGTAAAATGAAGATAGCAGGTCAAAAAAATTCTGTGGAAATACCCATATTGGGTAAAACTGATGAAAAAAAGAGAAAAGATAGGGAGGTAAATGAGACAAGAACTAGATGCAAAGCCCATATTCGTTTCAAGAAAAACAAAGAAGGAAATTTCGAAGCTGCTACACATGAGTTGGAGCATAATCATGAATTGGTTATAGTAGTTCAACGACATCATCTAAGATCAGAAAGGCAAATATCAGCTCCAATGGGTGAACTAATTGAGAGCATGATTGAGAGTGGTATTAAACCAATGGATGCTTATAATTATATAAGCAATGAAGCTCGAGGAGAAGAATGTGTAGGTCATACTAAGAGAGATCACCTTAATTATGTATCAAGGGTGAAAATGAGTATGGTTGAAGGTGGAGACATGCAAAATGTATTAGACACCCTTCAAGAAAGAGCAGATCAAGATCCCTCATTCTTTTATAGATTGAAATTTGGAGAAGAAAATAATGTTGTGAGCTATTTTTGGCGTGACTCCCAAATGCTTGAAGATTTCAAAGCTTATGGTGATGTTTTAATCTTCGATACAACATACAAAACAAACAAATATGGGTTGATATGTGCTCTATTTGTTGGTATAAAAAATCACTGGAAAACAACAATGTTTGGATGTGCATTCATAACTGATGAAAAGACTGATACATTTGTTTGGATGCTTTCAATCTTCAAAAAGTCAATGTGTGGAATTGAACCAAAATCAATCTTTACTGATCAAGATCTTGCAATGAGCAACGCCATACCAGAGGTAAGCAGTTTCAGCTTAATATTTGTATTTGTATTTTATATTGGGATATGTTTTGTATCAAATAAAATAATCTTGAATTTTTTATTTAATTCTTGATAATTATAAACTAACTATATAATGTTTTACCTGAAAAAAGTATTAAGCCTGACTTAAATCAATCAATGCCTAAGATAAAACACATTATATCTGACTAATATTTTCTAATTCCTGTCTAAGTTAAATGTATTTCTGAGTTAAAAATATCAAATAAACAATAATTAAACTCTGAAATATTTAAATCCTGACTAAAATATTGTTATATCTGACAAGAATTATTTTATATCTGAATATAATATACGAATAGATAACTTAAACTTTATATCTAATTTAACATTTTAATACCTGACTAATAAACTATTTTGCCTCACAAAAATAAATTAAAAACTAATGGAATTATTTAATATCTGACTTTAACTCTGTAATACCTGACATAAATATGTCAATTACTGCCATGATTTATATAATATCTGACTATAAAATAAAATTATTTGATTTCTGTCTAAGTAATGACTATAACTTTACTAATACCTAATGAATATCATGTAATATCTGATGAAAATAATATTAAAACTGATGAAGAAAATAAATTTTATAATTGACATTATATATTTAATATGTAATTAAAACACTTTAATTCCTGACTAACAAATTGTTATGCCTGACAAAAATAGATTAATAACTGACATGATATATATAATATCTAACTTTGACTCTAAAATACCCGACAAAAATTTATTAATTACTGCAATTACTTATCTAATATCTGACTATAAGAAGAAACTATTTGAATATCATGTAATTCCTTATGAATTTCATGTAATTTCTGATCAAAATACTCTAAAAACTGACTAACATATTATTATGTCTGACAAAAAGAGATTAATAACTGACATAAATCAAATAACACTAATTAAAGTCTGAAAATATTTAATTCCTGGCTATAATATAGTAATATCTGTCTAGAATCATTTTATATTTGACTTTAATATAAGGATAGCTGAATAAAATTTTATCATTCCTTAGAAAAACACAACAAAAATATTATTTTGAGAGATATGATTTATTTCCTGCCCTAAATAATATAATACCTGACTAAAAATATAATAATCATGAAAGAAATAATATTATTTCTGATTTTTAATACAATGGAATAACTTAAATCACCTTAATTCCTATTATATGAAACTTTTAATCTATTATCTGACTATAATACTTTAAATGCTGACTAATATATTATTATGCTTGACAAAAATAGAAGAATAACTAACGTTAATTATATAATATCTAACTGTTACTCTTTAATTCCTGACTAAAATATTATTATTCTTGAGTAAAATATTATTATGCCTGCATAAATCAACCAATCCAAAAATGTAACAACTGCCTAATAAAATCTAATTCCTGTCTAAGTTAAGTTTATTTCTGAGTTAAAAACATTAATTCCAAAGCACTGATTAAAATCTAATTATATTAAAATACTGATTAAAATATAGTATTATCTGTCAAAAATTATCTAATATCTGACTATAAAATAGAAAACTGAATTAAATTTTACAATTCCTTACACAAATACAAAAAAAATAATTTCTAAGAAATATGATTTGATTCCTGCCATAAATAATATAATAACTGAGTAAAAGAAAAATAATCCTGAAAGAAAAAATATTATTCCTGATTAAAAAAGAATGTTAATTCCTACATAAGTTATTATAATTCCATACTAAAATAAAACTGTTCCTGTTGAAATTAATGTAATTTTTGAACGAAATAATTGTATTCCTTATTGAGGTAATATAGTGCAATTATTCAGAAGTGTTTTTTCATTCACAAACAAAAACAAAAACATAAGTCCAAATTAGTATATATTTCTTCATAATATTTTGTCATACTTGTGACAATGCCTTACAAAAGCAAATGAACACTGTCACTTTAAACTATATAAGATCATAACAATTCTATACAAAACATTGCTTTTTAATTAAAGAAAAACATATTTACAGGGCATTTAAGCTAGCCTAATCTTCTTCTGCGGCCCGCCAGGTTGAATAGCTTCCTCTCTCTTTCTTTTCTTACTCCACATATCTTCCTCATCCCTAAATAGCCATCGCAACCCATCCAGAAATTCAGCCCAATCTTGAACCATTGAATTATGAAAACCATATCCATTATGCCTCATAATATCAGTTGCAAGCCACCACCTTTCACTGGCCTGCCTGGCTCTAACTACATGAGGAATCCAAGTATTTAAATACCATAATTCATTCCAATGCTTACAAACACAATTACACATCGCTTGCGCTCGAGGGGTGCACGTTGGAAAAATATACATGCATAAGATTTCAGGAACAGATAATGCATGTGGAGCATCCTCTAGAGCAGCCATGTAATGAGGGTCGTCTATTAGATCCATTTGAAATACTACGTTACAATATACTTGAATTCGAATAAAAATTGAACAAAACTGATAAATATTCTTTGTTGAAAAACTGGAAATGGATGGTTTTTTTTTAACAAACAGAAGAGATATATGAAAGGGTGTATAGATTTTTTTGAGAGTATGATGTTTGAAATACTTTATTTATATCAGTTTTCACTGCGCGTTTTCCAAGTAATTAAATTGTAAATCAATCAATTCATCATTTCCTGACTTTTTATCTGCCCATGTAATAATACTCAGTCCTAACATAAAATATTGTTATATAATTTCTGTTTATATTTGTAATTACTGATAAATTTAAACCGTTATATGAAAATTTAAATCTATTTTAAGACTAAATATATAAATTTTTTATTAACAAGTAAATACCTTTATTATTATAATTGACATTATTAATCTAATATCTTAACAAAATTGAACAAAATTGCTAAACATCATTTGTTGAAAAACTAGAAATGAATGGTTTTTTTAACAAACAGAAGAGAAATATGAAAGGGTGTATAGATTTTTTTGGGAGTATGATTTTAAAATACTTTATTTATATCAGTTTTTACTGTGCATTTTCCAAAGTAATTTAATTATAAATCAATCAATTCATCATTTCCTGGCTTTTTATCTGTCCACGTAATAATATCATAATTATTGACAAAAAAAATAACCTATTATATGAAAATTTAAATATACTAATTTTTGACCAACAAGTATTTTACTGGAAAAAAAAGACAATACATGAGAAACCAAAATAAAATCAAAGTACATTACTGAAATATACTTGATTTCATATACTATTTCGAAAAATATAATATATAAAAAAAACCCTAAAATCTTAATCATCTTCTTGAGATTTTAAACTTGTTTTTTCTTTTGATCTTCTTTTTCTTCTTCCTGTTTCTTCTTTTGTTGATCGTATTCTTTCTTTTTTTGTTTTGTTCTTCCTGGAATTTTTCTTCAACCCTCTTTCTCTTACTCAGTTCTTCGATTTTGTTCTTCTTAAATTTTTCATACAGTTTCATCAACCCATTCTTCACTCTATCTCTTCTCTCAAGTAGATCATTTAATCTATTTTAAAAGTTATCAAAAACATTTTCTTCTAGATCGTTTGATGAAGTAGAAGACTGAGAATTATTTTCCATATTTGAGGAATAAAGAAAAAGAGTATGTTTTAGGAGAGAGAATATACAGAAACACAAACATGCAAAATGTATGACCAATTCTTGGTTTTATAGACAAATATAAGAGATTAAAAAAATATTTTACTTTTAGAATAATTTTCTACGAATAATTCTTATTCTTACATTTTTGTCATCTTTATCCAAAATTCTTGGTAAATATATTCATGTTAAATATCTTTATTTTAAAAATCTTTATCCAAATCACAAAGTACTGAAAGCAACTCTAAATAAAATCAAACACTAGTAAAACAATTTTTGCTAATTTCTGTATTAAAAATGTTTTCCCTGAAGAAAATTCTACAATACTTGATTTATTTTATCTAATATCTGACTAAACCACTTTAATTCCTGACTAATAAATTGTTATGCCTGACAAAAATAGATTAATAACTGACGTGATTTATATAATATCTAACTTTGACTCTTTAATACCTGACAAAAATTTATTAATTACTGCCATTATATATCTAATATCTTACTATATAATGAAATTATTTGATTTATGTTGTCTAAGTAATGACTATAACTTTGCTAATTCCTAATGAATATAATGTAATTCCTGATTTTTCTAAAAACTGATTAAAATAAATCAAATTGTTCTATAATTGTTGAAGAAAATAAATATATAATTGACATTATTTGTTTATAAGTTATCTAGTATATGAACAAAATGTACTAATTTCTGTATTAAAAAATGTTTTCCCTGAAGAAACTACTACAATACTTGATTTTTTTTTATCTAATATCTGACTAAACCACTTTAATTCCTGACTAATAAATTGTTATGCCTGACAAAAATAGATTAATAACTGACGTGAGTTATATAATATCTAACTTTAACACTTTAATACCTGACAAAAATTTATTAATTACTGCCATTATATATCTAATATCAGACTATATAATGAAATTATTTGATTTATGTTGTCTAAATAATGACTATAACTTTGCTAATTCCTAATGAATATCATGTAATTCATGATAAATATAATCTAAACACTGATAAAAATATATCAAATTGTTCTATAATTGTTGAAGAAAATAAATATATAATTGACATTATTTGTTTAATATGTGATTAACACACTTTAATTTCTGACTAATAAATTGTTATGCCTGATAAAAATAAATTAATAACTGACTTGAGTTATATAATATCTAACTTTGACTCTTTAATTCCTGACAAAAATTTATTATTTTCTTCCATTATTTATCTAATATCTGACTATAAAATGAAATTATTTGATTGTTGCAGGTTTATCCAAATTCAAGACATAGGCTATGTCTATGGCATTTGCAAAAGAATTTTGTATCACACTTTGGAACTTTAAAAAACAACCCAGAATTCAAGAATATGTTTCACAAGTGCTTAAGTGGTTGTGATTCAGAATCAGAATTCGAAGATGTCTGGAAAGATGGTTCAAAAATATGGATTAGAAAAAAAAGAGTGGTTTGATAGGTTGTTCGGGCTACGAGAAAAATGGTGCACTGTTTTGAGCAAGGATATTTTCTCTGCGGGAATCCTTTCATCTCAAAGAGTAGAAGTAACAAACAGAGCAATTTCATTTAAGGCCAATAAAACCACTAAACTTTTGGAGTTCTTTCATATATTTGAAGCTACTGTGAGAAGATGGAGAAACACTGAAAAGAGTGACAACTTCAGATGTACTACTGAGAAACCAAAAACAAAAACAAAGATCTTAAAACATGCTGCTGAAGTTTATACTCTGAACTTATACAAGGATTTTAAGTTGGAATTTGAGACCAGCCTAGGAGCATATGCAAAGGAAAAGCCAACTTCAATGCAATACGTCAAATTCTTTGATGTTTCTCTTGATGAAGATTATATGCACACCTATCAAGTCATATATCACTGTCAAACCAATGAATTTATGTGTTCTTGTATGTGCTTCACATAGACTGGATTTATGTGCTTTCACATTATCAAGAAAATGCAAATGTACAACATACATTCTATACTAGAGAGATACATTTTGAAACGTTGGACCAAGCTTGCTAAATCAAGGATATGGGATGAGAATGAATCAGATACGTACATACTTTGTTATTTTAAAATTTATTACTTGTTTATTTAGTATAAAATAAAAATATCTTTATTCCTGAGCTAAATATTTTAATTACTAACATAAATAATTTCCTGAAATAGAAATGTAACAGGTGACTTAAATATTATAATACCTGGCCTAGATAATCTTATTCCTGACCTAAATAAATTAATACCTGGTCAAAAAAATTTAATACATGAAAAATATAATATTATTCCTGATCTATTCAATCTAATTTCTAATTGAAACAATTTTATTCCTGAAATATACAATCTAATTCCTGAAATATTCAAATTAATTCTTGATTAAAATATTTTAATGCCTGACATACAGAATTTAATTCATGACAAAAAAATCTAATAAATGACAAAAATAATCTAATTCCTGAAGATAATGAACAATGAACAACATATTATAATCAGATACAAATATTATTATTTCTGAAAATCATAGTTTAATATCTGATACAGATATTATTATTTCTGATATAAAATCAGATTTATTACAAACATAATTTTAATATTAAAAAACTTAAACATTGGTACCATTTTCTGCTTCATTAGGAAGCCTTTCAGTACCATCAGCATTAAAAATTCTAATGTAAATGGTATCACGACCATGGTAAATATCAAGTCTGTCTCCAGGAACTATGTTGTTAGTAGCTACGAAGTTTTTCCCATTCACGATCAATCAACATACCACCATACCATGTATCTTGTGGTATGCTTATGACTCTTACTTCCCAAAATCTATCTTCTCTGCCATTATTCCCAGCATAGACTCTTACATGATGCCTGAATTTTAGAAGAAAAAACTTCCATTCTGCAGAAAGTGACTGAAATTAAAAAAAAAATGTAATCATTAAGTTTTTACTAAAACACAAAACAAATTTATAAATTTAAAACTTAATGTAAAATATATTTACCATACTAAGGCGATGAATTGTTTTGAAAGTAATAGTGCAATTTTCTTTATTTGCGTAGAAATCAGCCATTATCTTATAACTCTTGATTAGATGAAGAAAAATATAACTTATTGTTACAAAACTGCACCTTTTATAGAATAAATGTATATATTAATATGTTTCGGGGGTTTTTGTCCCTTGGGAGAGTTACAACACTGAAACTGGGTTCAACAATGGACGCCTGTACCTGCAAAGCAAACGAACCGCTGAATGGTCGGTGGTCCGCCTCCGAAGATTAAGTTAGTAAACGTTCGGTAATAAAACGTGTGAAAGTAAAGTTATCTGCTTGGATTACAAGCTCAGGTAAACTGCTGTCTGCTCTTTGAAACTGACAGCTTTGAAATAAAAGTGACGTGTTGTCTCGTATTGCGCGTATATTCTCTCTGTGGTGTGTCATAAATGTAAGAATGTCCCTATTTATAGGGTCCTTTTTGAAAGTGTGCCCTTCCTAGGATCTGGTGACCTAGGGATTAGGGCACGCCGTTTTTAAGGGCCCCTTGGGATTTGGACCTTGACAGCCTCCATTCCTAGGGGGCAATATCTTCTCGACACGTGTCACCATCTGGAAGGTCCAAGTAGGCACCCCTTCTAGTGACATGTGTCATGCTTTGATTGGGCCACTTGGCAGGGTATAAAATACCCAAATCATTTGCCCCTCACAGGGGTCACGTTTATTGCACGTGGCACCTGTGACAGGTGTCTTCATCTGACTGGCTGGATTTTGAAATTGTTTTTTTTGGAGGGGAATATTAGGGTTTCCCCTTTCTATAAATAGGAGGGTTTGACTTCATTTTCGCTTTCACACCTTTGCGAATCTTTGGAGAATCTCTGGACTTTTGACTTTCAAAGACTCTCAAATACCCTAACTTTGTCAAGCATCCGACGCTCGGCCTTTCTGTTCGACTGCTTCAGCCAACCAGGCGTCTCACAAAACCTTCTTCTAAGGTAACCACCTGCTCTTTCCTTTTATTTTCTCTTGTATTTTTCATTTATTCGAATGGTTTCCCAAACGTACACGGCACGACCTAGGTTAGCGATCAACCGGTCACCGGGGACGGCTGAATCTAGAACTAGGAGTGTCGAATGCTCGTTCGAGAACTTTCCTTTAAGTACATCTCCAAATCCGACAGTGTGTGTGCATCTGCAGGACACGATGGCTCGAACAAAGCAGACAACAAGGATATATAGGCCGGATGGTTCCTTTTACTATTTTAACAGTGAGACTCCAAATTCAGACGGCTCCATTAGGGTGCCAGTTAGTGAAATTTCTGAGCACCCCCCAAACCCTTCTTCCGACCTTCCCCAAACTCCAACATACTATTCTCCCCCTTCTTCAAGCGGCACCCCTAGTGATACTATTCTAAGGGAAGCCGACAGTCAGTACCAGTCCGAGCCTTCAAAACAGGCGTCAGAGGATAGTCTAGGGGAGGACCCTGCTGGCCCTAGCCGGCAGTCCCTTAGCTCTGGGGATAGCTCCGATGATGATTCAGCCTCTTCATCTTCTGATAGCGCCCCAGTTAACTTAGAGGAAGCCCGAGCAAAAATAGAGACTGCAAGGGAATCCTTGTTAGTAGAAAAAGGGGAAGACTGGGCGGAGCCGAGTGCTTCCAGGCGCTTAGAACGCGCCCCCTACTATCACCATGTTCCGCAAAGCAAGCGGACCTCTATGACATCCGGTCTTGCCAATTTCAGGCGCAAGACCGTAATAGGGCATGGCTTTTCTTTGTCTGTCCCCAACAAGGATGATACTATAACCTGGCCCTCCCTGGCCAGTTATAAGGACCAAGCCTTTGGCTGCTACGAGGCGGTCCTTCAGGCTGGTTTACGCTTCCCTCTTCATCCGGCCGTGGAGAGGATTTTAGACGGATACCAGCTGGGTATCTGGCAACTCGTACCAAATTCCTGGATCAATATTATCGGGTACGTTGCCGCATGTGAAATGCTGGAGGTGGATCCCAGCTTTGAGGCATTCGCCCAATGCACTATCTTAGCCGAGCGCCTGCCAAGGGCGGCGAAGGCTGGTACACCTTGTCCACCTGCAAGGGGTACATGATGGCAGTCGGCAAGGAGAACAAATGGAAGGACTGGAGAACAAAGTTCTACATTGTCCATTCCTCTGAAAGCCGACTGAACCAAAAATATAATAGGTGGAACAAGGATCCGCCCCTCCTGGCTGGCAAAAGCGCCTTGCCTCCTCTCCCTAGGCGGGCCCAGGAGGAAATTTTTGACAGGGTTCTGTTTAATGTGTCCGTTCGGACAGACGAGCATGGGGAGAAAATAGTCGTCCCCCAGAGCTACATTCCCCTTTACAAGTGGCTAGAAGATGGGGTGTACTTGGCCGCTTGTGGGCTAAGTTCTGAGATGCCGAGAGGTAGTCGGCTGTCTAATCTTATGCAAACTTTAGGTTGTTTTTCAATGTTTGTTTATAAAACCTAACTCTTTCTTTTGGTGCAGACAAAGCAATGGAAAAGCTCTCGGCAACAAAGAAGCCGGCTGCCGTCTCTGCAACAAAGTACCGCACCAACGTCCTTAACAGGGCGAATGACGAGCAGAAAGCAGCCGGAACTCCCAAGGTAGTTGTTTGACACTTGGTATATTTTTTCAACAGAGGTTAAATTTTGTCCGCCTGCTTTTCTGACGCCTTTCTTTTTGCTCAAACAGAGCGGTTCCATCAGTCCTTCTCCCTCCAAACAATCCCAACCCAAAATTCAAAAGACTGGTGCGGGTGATGTGAGTGCATCCGGCAAAAGTTTGGTTCTAAGAAGGGCACTACACTCTAAAACCGTACCTATGGAAAACAATCAAAGGGAGAAAATCTTTTTTACAAGGTGCAAGGTAGAAGATAGGTTGTGTGACATGATCATAGACACGGGGAGTTGCACTAATGTGGTGTCTACTACTTTGGTAGACAAATTGAAGTGGCCAGTCACTGAACATCCAAGCCCTTATAAGCTTCATTGGCTTAATAATTCGAGTGATGTTAATGTAACTAAACAAGCCTTAATCTCCTTTTCAATTGGTAAATTTCATGATAAAGTTTTGTGTGATGTTTGTCCTATGGATGCTTGTCATATACTATTAGGCCATCCTTGGCAATATTATAGATTTGTGAAGTTTGATGGAAGGACTAATGTCTATGTTGTGAGAAAAGGAGAAAAAGACAGACCGGTTGCTTTAAAACCTTTGATAAGCAACAAGTCTTCTAATGTTACCTCTAATTCGAAGAGTTCTTATTTGATTAGTGAGAGGGAATTAGAAAAAGAGATTTGCAGCAACAATGTGATATATATACTTGTTTCTAATGAGATTCGAATTGATCAAGATAAACAAGCAAAGAGGTCGTATGAATTGGAATCTGTTTTAGAAGAATTCAAGGATGTCTTTCCTAAGGAATTACCTCCGGGACTACCTCCTATTCGTGGGATAGAGCATCAAATTGACTTGATTCCGGGAGCACCATTACCTAATAAGGTAGCCTATAGAAGTAATCCGGAAGAAACAAAGGATATGCAAAGACAAATTGAAGAGCTTATGGCTAGAGGATACGTGAGGGAAAGTATGAGCCCTTGTGTCGTGCCTACTTTACTTGTCCCAAAGAAAGATGGGAGTTGGCGCATGTGTATTGATAGTAGGAGTGTGAATAACATCACTATCAAATACCGATTTCCTATTCCAAGATTAGATGATCTACTTGATGAACTACATGGTTCAAAGTTGTTTTCTAAGATTGATTTTATGAGTGGTTATCATCAAATTAGAATGAGAGAAGGAGATGAGTGGAAAACAACGTTCAAGACTAAGTTAGGGTTGTATAAGTGGTTGGTGATGTCGTTTGGACTCACTAATGCACCTAGCACTTTCATGAGGTTGATGCATGAGGTACTTAAAC